TATATATATATATATATATATATATATATATTTGACAAATAAAAAAATAGGGTTGATATGATAATAAATTTGGGTAAACTATTATTTATGTGTAGCAGTAGTTCATACTATTTTAAAACCGTAAATATTTCTATCCTCAATTTCATATATCTACTATTTTTTATATAGAAGTGTGGATAACCACACATGTGATGGTCAATATGGATGTATCATCTGTGTGGTTCCACACTTACATATATATTTGTTTTGTTTTTTTTTGTTTTAATTTGTTTGTCTTAATTTTTAATTTTTTATATATTTAAAAATTGCATAAAAAATACTATAAATCATGATAATTGACAACTTAAAATATTTGTAAAAATCATATAAAAAATTCTATTGATTTATAAACTTAATCTATTTGTGTCATATAAAATGGGACAAAAGAAGTAACATGTATTATTTAATTTGAAAATTATGTAAAAAATATTGTAAATCTCAATAATTAGCAATATTTGATTGACTCTTGAAATTTTATATGTGCTACATATATAGGGACAAAAAAAGTAACATAAATTATTTTAAAATTACATAAAAAGTACTATAAATTATAATAATTAACAACATAAAATATTTAAAAATCATATTAAAATTTAATTGACTATCTAAATTTTATCTATGTCACATGAAGTGAAACAAAAAAATAACAGATATGAGTTCGTACTAGCACGGGCACTTGTGTCTAATCTGTTAAAAGTAGTCAACTTTATTTTTTGTCATTGAAATAAGGAAAAAAATGGAATCAGCAATGAATAAATTCTAAAAACTAAAATGTTAGCACAACTAATGTAGAAATTTTCCATTTTCCTCCTCAGCATTTAAGGAACTTAAAATATAATTAATTTTGTAATGGTCTTTATAATCTGACCTCTTTTTTAAAAATGGGAGTAGGGAATTAATGAGAAATAACGGAGGAAATTATAAGGTAGGAAATCGAATGCTTGTCAATAGAGTGAAAATTCGGTAGCCAATCAATTGAACTATTAAGATTTTCCGACCCATTATGAAAATTGATAAACTATTGTTTATCGTAAATCTCAACATCAAAATCGTCTTGTTTATGAAGTTTTTTCAAATGATACTCGCTTTATTCATTTTTGACTTTGCATAATTCTTTAGAAATAATGACTAATATGAGTATTTTACCATAAGACTCATATTAATAGATGTATAGTCTTAGATCTTGGAAAGTGATTTGGAGAATAAACAATTAATGTCGATGGTATAATAAGAAATTTTTTTATCTTTTCTTGATATGTTAAAAGTGACAAATAAAAGTGTATGAAGATGATATTTTCTTTTCATTTTCTAACCTCAAAGGAATTTGAATGTAATTGTGTATTCTCTCCATCTCAAATTATTTGTCATGTTTCTCTTCTACACGTCTCTTAAGTAATTATTAATAGGAGAATGTTTTGACTAGTTTATTCTCAGTTATGTCTTATGATATAATTTATGTATATATATATATTGGATGAACATAAATTATATCATAAGACATAACTGAGAATAAACTAGTCAAAACATTCTCCTATTAATAATTACTTAAGAGACGTGTAGAAGAGAAACATGACAAATAATTTGAGATGGAGAGAATACACAATTACATTCAAATTCCTTTGAGGTTAGAAAATGAAAAGAAAATATCATCTTCATACACTTTTATTTGTCACTTTTAACATATCAAGAAAAGATAAAAAAATTTCTTATTATTTTCATTAAATAAATAATTGTACCTACTAAATACTACTTTTATTTATTTGTCCTTCTCTTTCAACACATGTACTTTATATGAAAATAGATTTACTTGAAGTGTTCTTCTTCTTCTCTTATTCCCAAATCCTAATTTTGCTTGAACCTTTGACTTCTACTGTAGCACTTCTTCGATTTCAGGTGTGTTGGATACTCTTGCATGTGTTTTCCTTTTTATTATATTTTTTTGGGTTCTGCTTTGGGATTTCTTTGCATCCGGATAAGACCTAATATGATTGTTTTTTATTCTAGGTTGATTTACTAGATCTGTAAAATTTCGGTCTTTGTTGAATTCACTAATTTCATGCGAAAAAATCTGGCAGCACAATATTCCTCAGAGCAAAGATTTGACGAAAAAAATTGGGATTTCTTTGCATCCGAATAAGACCTAATATCATTTTTTTTAATTCTAGGTTGATTTACTAGATCTGTAAAATTTGGGTCTTTGTTGGATTCGCTAATTTCATGCGAAAAAATCTCGCAGCACAACAATTTGTTCCTCAGAGCAATAGATTTGACGAAAAAAATAATTACAAATCCCAATTTTTTCGTAACGTCAGGATAATAGAAAAGGGAAGAAGACCCAATTTGATTATTTTCTTTCTATGTATGTGTATATGTATATATATATATATATTAGATTACAATAATTTACTACATTATAGGAATTGAATCTTTGTTGGATTTGATAATTTTAGATGAAAAGATTTTAAGTCCAAAAAACTGTTTACTTCTTTCCTTGTTTCATTCTTCTTTTAATATTTTACTCTTATCTTTCTTATTTAGAAAGGATAGTTTATGAGGACGAACACTGCTTTAAAATGTGGAACAACAACCAATTTAAATTGTCCATCAAATAGCACTTGAGCTGTAAGAATAGGGTTAATTTGATATCTTGTTTGATGTAGCTTCTGTTGACTGTCTTTACCCATTGTGTACGTGTTTTGTTCTTAACAATAACTTGATGCAGGTACAAAGGCATTTTTACGCTGGTTGTTAAAGAGTAAACAGGATTTTTATGCTGATTTTGAGTGTTTTTCACCGCCTCAATTTGTTAACTTACAGGTAAAGTAATGTGTCGTCTTATTTTCAGTTGTTTTGATAAAAGAAGGGGTTATACCTGAAGATGCACTTCACTCTCTGATTCTTACAAAGTCTAATAATGAAATTTTGGTATTGTAATTTATCTATTGATTCATATTATTAGTATCATTATTGCAGTTAATAAAATAGTAGTTTTCATATCATTTTGCTTTTATGATTTTGTTTTATAAGCCTTACATTTCCCTTTTTATCTGAATATTCTGTCATGTTATCCTCACTCCCCAGTCTGAAAGACGCCTTCCAGCCTCACCTCTTTAGTTTAAAAAAAAAAAAAGGAATCCCTGAGTCTGAAATACTACTAAATCTGTATTAGACACTAATGCAACTAAGAACATGTAAAGCTCAGGGCTGGATTAGAGCATGGTTTTGTGACAATTGAAGGTAGTTGGTTCTACAATTGAACTTGTTAATCGGTTAGAATGATGCTTAGTTCGTATTTGATGTTAAACGGTCACCTTTTGAATGAAGATGCTTTTGTCCCAAATCCCAATCCCCCAATTCAGTTTGGAACTGGTAACATGAGAATTTTCAGTGCTTTGCTTGCTCTTTCATGGTTGACACCTGTTAACAAGCATCAGGCTATTTTTTTCTTAAGTTACTTCCATTCTTATTTCTCTATCTCTCTCTCATGCATAAAAAAAATAATCATTTTTCCCTTTTGTCGGTCTCTAAATTTCATCAGTTTCTTCATCTGTTGAACATTTTTAAAGTTCCTATATTTTTCTATCTTGGTGTGGTCCTTCAATTTATTGTTTCCCCATTCAAGTTGGTTTGTCTTAAGAAAAAAATTAATAGTTGAAATTATCAATTTTCTCTGGAAGGATGCAATATGCATTGATTCCGATCAAATTTGTTTTTTTTGTTTGTTTTGTTGTTAGTCTTTATATTAAATTGCTTATTTTAAGGTTACAACTAAAAAGGGAAAATAAAGGATTGAATTTTTTTTTAAACTTGCATTTATAAGGAGATTGAGGGTTGTCAAATAGCTATTCAAAGTTATTGCATGTGAGTGTTTCAACAAATTTTGCTCATATTTTGTTCGAAAATTTCTGAAAGTTGGTGCTGACCCTAGCATTGCTGGGAAATAGTTGCTTCTACACTCATAAGTTGCTACTTTGTAGCGTTGTTACGTATTAACCTTCCAATATCATGTTGGAGCAGAGATTGGACTTGTAGTTGTAGACATTACTTTAAAGCATTTATATTAGTGACAGTAACAGTGTTATGTTATCTCATAAAGTAAATGCTTATGCTATATTCATTCATATTTTTATAACATGCAAAAACTAATTCCTGGCAATAATCGGCATCCTTAGGACATACAAACTACGATTGTGCTCCTTACCCCTCTATTATGCAGTTCAAAGTTGAAAATTACTATAAAATTTAATTTCAGTTGAAATATCTCTCAACTTGCTTCCGATAACTCTGGACAAGTTAGAATTCATAAAATAAATAAGTTAATAATGACGATTTGAGATACAAAATTAGAAAATTGAAATATTGTCTGAAAATTACAAAACAAATCTGTTATTCAATTCCCACCATTGATTACATACTGTTGTTTAGTTTGTTTTACCCTCAATTCTTTTGACGGACGAAGGAATAGGATGAAATACATAAAACAACCATATGAATGGTGGAATTATATGAATGGCAGTTTTCTCACATAACAATTTCTTAAGAGCACAAAGACTGCTTATGTATTGAAACAAAGTTTCTTTTTTGCAGCTCATGTGTATGAACTTTTCTTGCTTGACGTTATTTTTATTTATTTTACTATTTGTGTACACTCATTTACTATTGTCTGCTTTTTTTTTTTTTTGTCAATTCTATGTAGTTTCCAGATTACATTAAGTTATAAATTAATTTAACAAATCATGAACTACTCGAAACAGGAATGGAACAAAATAGAGATAATGTGTCTATCGAAGAAAGAACTTTTGACAGAAATTTGCGTCGTCGTACTAGATATGCACAGATGTCATCAGAGAGAAAGGAATTATTATTATCCCAGCTAAGAGAAAAAAGGGCTACATCGAAAAGACAAAAACTCCTTCATCAATCAAATAGTACTGCCGCTCTTACAATCAGCACTTCTTCGTTATCTCCTCAACAAGGTGACCTAACCATATTGTTATCTTCCCTTTGTCAAATCTGTCGTCTTAATATCTATAGCTATAGTTACACGCTTCAGCTCACCTACTCTTACTACAGTTATTTTCCTCATTTTGTAGTTGAAGCTTCCAAAGCTACAAACCTACCAGTTACTTCAATTAGAGGAGAACGTATAGTTAATTTCTTATCTACCTTCGAAGTAGGTGAGTTCAGAAATAGTGCTTAAACTATTTAGACTATATTGATTTTTCATAATTGGCTAGCTGTCTTTAAATATTGTTATTCCTCATACTAGGATCAACATCGACTGCATCTCATGCTGCAACTAAATTAAATTCAAGATGTAATGCAAATAGAGGTATGCTTCTTTCTACCAAAGTAATAAAAAAACATGCATTGTCGTGCCTTTATATAAAAAATAATTGCTTTTTACCATGCACATGTAGAAATAAGTTAGAAGTCAATCTACAAAATGATAATTTATTGCCAAAAGATTACTTACTTTTAAAGAAAGTTCCAAATTGCTAATTTTGTGCAGCAAAAAGGTTTTAATATGAATCGCTAGGTTTTTGTTGTGATAATGGATCAATTAGACTAATTTCTCATAACATGCCTACTGAGTTGCGAAATTTGTTCTTGAGTCACTCCAAAGAATCTCAACATTTTCGCACTTACAGTAGAGCCTACAATAATATGTTTGCATTCACTTCACTTGGAGTACATTATGATAGAGAATTAGCAAAGAGAAATCGTGGCATCTATACATTTAAAGTCCAAGGACAAATGTATCACTTTCATTGATGATTTGATACCCTCACGAGGAAAAAGAAAAAAATTACAATTATATTTCTATGATAACGAAAATGAGCTAACAAATCGAATGACGTTATCAGATAATCTTAATGAGGTGATTGTTACAAAGCTCATGGATATACTAAAAGTTAATCCTTATTCTACTTTTCTAAGATCGTTAACAGTTGTTCCAAATTTATCTGAATTTTATATTGCTCTAAACTCAAGTTCCAATTTAGACCCAAGAACACATAACTTACAAACTGCATCCGAAATTGGGGTAATTTGGATTGAAGATCAATTAAATGATAAAATTTTCACACCACATATTTGAATTTACACTCATAGTAACAGAAGTCAATTGGTAAATTACTATTATGAATGTTATGACCCATTGCAGTATCCACTGTTGTTTCCTTATGGTCAAAATGGATGGCATTGTGGTATTAAAAAAATCAAAAAGACGTACAATTATTCCAAAACACAAATTTATTGTGAATATGAGCAGCTACCCAGTATAATGAACATGAATTCTATTGATCGAGTCCTTCACATGGAATCTACAGTTTTATCAAAAGGCTTGAGAAAAAGAGAGATTGTTTCTTGTCGTGAATATTATTGTTATAAAATTCAAATAAGAGATCAAGAACCAAATGAAACTTTACATTCTGGAAGGGTATTTCAACAATACATAGTTGACCAATATATAAAACTTGAGACACAAAGATTAGATTTTGTTTTATTTAATCAAGATCTATTTAGAGTTGAAGCCTTTCAAGGAATCATTGATTTATTAAGACAAGGAGAAAGAGATGTTTCCAATATAGGGAGACAAAAATTCCTTCCTGGTAGTTTCATTGGAGGCCCAAGAGATATGCGTCGAAGATATATAGATGCCATTACTTTGGTACAACAGTTTGGAAAACCTGACATATTTTTGACAATGACTTGTAATCCTTCTTGGCCTGAAATACAAGAACATTTAGAGCCAATGGAAGAAGTTCAAAACAGACATGATTTAGTTAGTAGAGTATTCAGAGCAAAAGTAGAAGAACTTAAAACAGATATTCAAAAAAAACATATTTGGAAAGGTTGCAACTTTTATGTATACAATTGAGTTTCGAAAACGGGGTCTTCTACATGCCCATTTTCTCATTATACTTATGGATGGATATAAGTTGCTAACACCACAAGCATATGATAAAATTGTATGTGCTGAATTACCTGATCCCCATATTGATCATCATCTATACAAACTTGTGACCAAGCGCATGATTCATGGTCCTTGTGGCAATTTAAATCCTTCAAATTCTTGCATGCAAAAAGAAGGAAAATGTAAGTTTAAATATCCAAAAGAACTTACTAAACAAACAACCAAAGGAAAGAATTCGTATCCCGTTTACAAAAGACCAAAAATGACCACACAAGTCAAAGTTAGAGGACACAACATTGATAATTCTTGGGTTGTTCCATACAATCCGTTTTTACTCAACAAATTCAGTTGTCATATTAATGTTGAAATATGTTCTGACATTAAGGTTGTCAAATACATTTACAAATACATTTGCAAAGGACATGATAAAATTGCATTTTGTGTACATAATAATGATACTAATGTAGAAATAGATGAAATCAAAGAATACCAATCTGCTAGATGGGTTTCTCCACCAGAGGCTGCATGGCGTCTGTTTGCTTTTTCGACAAGTGAAATGACTCCAATTGTTTGCCAGTTGCAATTGCATCTTGATGGACAACAATTTGTTTCGTTAAAAAATAACCAAACTGTGGATCAAATAATAAACAATCCAATGATAAGGAAAACGATGTTAACAGAATTTTTCCTTATGAACAAAATCAATAGTGATGCTATAAATCTTAATTTACTATATATAGAGTTTCCCCAACACTTTGTATGGTCATCATCATACAAAATGTGGTCGCATCGAAAGCAACGCCTTACTATCGGACGTATTGTCACATGTCATCCACCCGAAAGAGAAAGATATTATCTTAGGTTGCTTCTAATGAACGTAAGAGGACCAAAATCATACGAAGATCTTCGTACAATGGATGGAAGATGCTACACTACATTTAGGGAAGCTGCAGAAAAAAAGGCTTATTACATTCTGATAACAACTTAATTGAGTGTATGTCTGAAGTTGTAAGCTATCAAATGCCTTATAGTTTAAGAAGACTATTTGCAACATTATTAGTTTATTGTAATCCTGGTAACCCAAAAGATCTTTGGAAAAAATATGAAGACTCTATGTCGGAAGATTTTAAAACAATTGCAAATGTTAGAAAATATGATATCCAGCAGTTAGTTTTAAATCATATCAATGAAGTTCTACTTTCAATGTGACGTAACATAAATGAATTCAAAGATATATTTGGAAATGTTAGCTCTTCCAGAACAACTAATGAGGCGAAAGAAATATATTTTTGAAAGAAATATAATAGTGTCTGAAGAAGATATACTTCTACAAAACCAAATTAAATGTTGAACAAAAAAGGGCATATAACATAATTCTTGAAAGAGTATATTCCAATAAATCGGGAGCTTTTTTCATTGATGGTCCTGGTGGAACTGGAAAAATATTTCTTTATCTAGCTTTGTTGGCTGCTGTAAGAACAAAATGATGCATAGCTTTGGCAACTGCAAGTTCTGGCGTGGCAACTTCAATACTTCCGGGAGGACGAACAACTCATTCACGTTTCAAAATTCATGTTGGCATCGATGAGAATTTCACTTGCAATATTAGTAAACAAAGTCCATTAGCGACTCTAATTCGAGATTCAAAGTTAATTGTTTGGGATGAGGTCTCAATGGCAAAAAAAACAATTGAAGCTCTTGATACACTTTTAAAAGATCTTATGAATACAAAAACACTCTTTGGTGGAAAAGTAATAGTTTTGGGGGGAGACTTTATTAGTCAGTTTATTATACTCTCATATTTGGAATCATCTCAAAAAATTGTGCTTATCTAAGAACATGCGTGCAAAAAAAAATCCAGCATTTTGTGCATATTTAATGAGAATTAGAAATGGACAAGAAAAAACTAACAACTGCAACAAAATTGAAATTCCCAATAATTTTATCATTCCTTTTACACATGAAATAGAATCTTTGAATCTTTTGTTTAATATTACTTATCCTGATTTGCATACATTCTATTCTAATCCATCTTTTATAACTTTTCGTATTATTTTGACAACAAAAAATGATTTTGTTGATGAAATAAATGACATGCTTATACATCGATTTCCCGATGATGCTACAGTGTATACAGCTATTGATGAAACAATCGAACCAAATGATCAATGCCAATTTGAAGATTTTTTGCATACCTTACATCCTGCTAACTTACCACCTTATAAATTAACTTTGAAAAAAAATTGTCGAGTTATATTATTAAGAAACTTAAATCCTACTGAAGGTTTATGCAATGATACACGATTAATATGTCATGATTTTAAATCATATGTTATCAGTGCTACTATTTCCAGAGGTGATTTTAAAAATAAACATGTATTTATTCTAAAGATACCATTACTAGAATCACAAGATGAGAAGCTACCAGTTCCCTTCAAAAGAACACAATTTCCGATAAGGTTATGTTTTGCTATGACTATAAACAAAGCTCAAGGTCAAACATTAGATTTTGTTGGAATATATTTGCGTGAACCAATTTTTCACATGGACAACTTTATGTTGCTTTATCTCGAGCAAATGTTCAGAGAACGTAAAAATATTAATACGTCCGCCTACGGCAGAGGACACAGATGATCATTCTACATATAACGTAGTTTATGACGAAATCATTCGAAAAGCATTCTCATGATACTTTTAAAAGCAAGAAATCTAACAAGTAAGCACCCTCATGCTACACATTATGAAATTTCGGATTCCTTTACTTCATCTGTTTTTAAAGCTAACTAAGAGTTAGCTCGCAATCATATCAGTTCAACATTTTAAGTTTAAAATTTCACTGTTCAATTTAGATTCTTCCTGCCCAATTAGTTAAATTTCAAATATTTAATTTTCACTAACCTAAATCCTAACATTGCAGGAACAACTTATTCAATCAAGGATAAGTATTTATATAGTTCTAGCTGAAGGAAATGACTGAGATGACCTACCTCTTAAGGCTTCAAACGTTTTTATTTGAGATGATACAAGTGCAAATAAATGATGATGAGGTAAACAAAATTTCCAGTCATAATGTTATACCGATTAATGCTCTTAACTTTGTTGAATGTACTTTCAGTGAATTTTTCTTGCTTATTCTCTCTCTTTGTTTGTTATTTAACTTCTCACATTACCGTACTCACTTGTGTTTGCTAGAATAACTTCTCTTTTGCATTTTTATTGATACAATAACTTCTGTTCTGTTTGGTTGCTATTGTTTGACACCTCATTTTGAGGTTGACTCACTGCTGTATTTTGGCCTTTTGCTGTTTCTTTTTCTGCAGCCGCAGCTATTCGTATTCAATCCATTTTAGGAAAGAGGCCAATTACTCATCAATTAAGGGTCATGATAACAAATCCTATATAAGTTGGAGGCTCAAATCTTCAAACTTTATGAAAGATATGTTTCAAATGTATCCCATTTGATCCCATTGGTTGTTCTGTTAAACTCATTTACTACTCCCTCCGTCCCTATTTACTTGTCCATATTTCCTTTTTAGTTGTCCCTATTTAGTTGTCCATTTTGACAAATCAAGAAAGGACAACAAATTTTTCCTATTATACCCTTATTTACACTTCTTGAAAATTGTAAAAGTGTATGTTGTTTCCCTCCAATTTATTTCACTTGAATTCAAAAAAGTGGTTGTAATTTTGAAGTGAAAAGTTGTCATAAAGGTAAAATTGTAACTTTACTGTGCTAATCATTGTTGCCTTAATCTGTGTGTCATTTCTAAAGTGGACAACTAAAAAGGGACGGAGGGAGTATTGTCTAACGTTTTGTAGCCTAATTTATAGGTTAATGTAAGCTACTTCAAATAGGAATGGACAAAAATAAAGATACTGTCATTGTTCAAGAAAGAGCTGTGTGATTGTTCAAGAAAGAACTGCTGACAGAAATTTGCGTCGTCATACTAGATATGCACAAATGTCACCAGAGAAAAAGCAATTATGTTTGTCCCACGTAAGAGACCGCAACAATCTTTTTGGAATTTTATCCTCAACATACAATGTTATTGGCATTGGAATGGATTAGTCCTCCATCCAAATATATAATCCTCGAATTAGCGAGGTTGAGCTATTCAGACATTTATTTCATTCTGTAATTTTTGGAATATATTACTAATTCAGTATTTAGTTTAAATTTGTTGACATCAAGTACAATCTCTTTGTGTAGGTAAAGACAAAGCTCAAAGGATATCATAAGAGAATAACTGCGCTTCCTTTTTGAATTCTGTCAACGTGCTTATATCTGCAGGAGCAGATTCTCAGGTAAATTAGTTTGATATAGATGTATTTCGACAGATACCTTACTTAAAAGAAAAATATAACTCTTCTGTTTTGGACGAAATTCTCCAGTATTTGGTGTGGTATGAGATTCATATGAAATGTACTCTCTTCTACTGTATGAAAGAAACTCATATGAGAATGTTTTCAGTCGTCTGCTTCTTTAGTTTAGTAGGAATTTCATGCTATTGCATGGAACAATTGTATGGTCTTATACTGCTCTATGCTAGCTCGAAAGTTATTGCTACTCTCTTTTTTCCTGCTGAACGTCATCGAGAATTTTCCCCTTCTTCCGGTCTGCCCACAAGATTCTCAATACAGGCTTAACAACCATCCCTGCTTACATTTTCAGAAAATTTTAATACTAATTGTTAAGCTTCACTAATAGATATGGTTCTCCTATAAGGAGCATATTTGCCTTGTGTTTCTTGCTCTGCTAACTCATGTAACTTAATGTTGACACTTAGCGTACAAGATATAACTTAAATCTCATAAATTTAATAAGCAAAGCATATTAGTCAGTTGATGTAATTCAATGTTTCTGAATCATTTTTGTATTTCTCAGTAATTATACACATGACTTCGATATATATGATGTTTGCACTTATTAGTTCCTTCTTGCATCGTCTTTTCAACTCTTTCAGATTCAGTAAGCACAATTTGATATGTCTACCCCAGTTTTCTACTCTTTTGGATATAGTTTCTTCCTAAGATTTCTACATGCATGATACTAACTAAACTTAGACAGTCTTACAAAAATCTAACATATCAAGAATGTCTATGCCTTAAATTTTTAAGTGAATTCTGCATCCAAGTTGTTTGGTAATATGCCTTCGTTAACTCATTTAAAGTTTTTTGTTGCCATTTTTTTTAGGCTGCAGCAGCATTATTTGTATTAGGACTGAAGGCACATTTGGGACTTATCTTGGTGGTTTTGGTTCTACCGTTCAAGATGTGAGCCACTATGTTATCAATTACCGTCTTCCATAAATCGCGCAAGGTATTAGTATTAATTATTTTCTTATGGATATCCTTTTTTTCTTTCTTTAGGTCAACTACGTAATTTTGAGTATCATATATTCATTTGTATTCGGTTATCATGTATTGGCATTTGGTTTGTTGTTCCACTTTTCCTTCGAATAGACAAAGTGCACGAAAATTGGCCCGAACATTACAACTATAAATAAAATGATTGCAAGGAAGATCCAATGGACGATAATTTTCTACATATCAAAAAATTCTATTGTCTTAACTTGGTTCTGTTCAACAACATCGTCAATTCCTTTTTTGGGTTCTTTTAATTATATAATACACTGATAAAATTTGAGGGTATTATTATAAAAAATTACTGATGAACAGAAGACTTTCATCAGCCTTTTTGTGTTCAGTTGCTCTTTTATGATGTGGTTAATTTGTCTTTCTACTCTTTCTGTAGGAATGGAATGTTACATGTGAATTACAACTTCTAACTTTTTTGCCGTAACAATTTATAGGGTATGTACATCTGCCAAATTTCTTTAGCTGAGAGGTCTCTCATATCGAGAGAAGGCCTTCACCAACTAATGTTGGCAAACCAAGATTATGAGCGTCTTGCTGGTGAAGGATTGGATGAAAAAGAGAGGCCTAATGTAAGTATCCTTTATTGGTAAGATAAGGACTACTCCGTTGTCACAATCCTCTTTGATACAATTTTTACATTGCCCAATATGCAATATGTCGTTTTTCATGGCAATGTAGATGCTGAAGTACCAATAGCGCACCAGGTACCACAATTTTCTATTTGTTTTGAAATCTCTTTCATGGTTTATTCTTCTGAACATTGTGAACTAATATTACAAACTTTGTTCTCATTAAAGGAGTACTGCATAAGACATATAGATGTTTCCTGGTAAAATCAGACGCATAACGAAAAAAAGTGATTCAATGTCTTAAAGCAGCAATTGAAAGAAGGGTATCTGAGGTTAGCACTAATGATTAACTTAATTTCTAAAAAAATTTAGATCCATTGTTCGACATATATTGGGAGTTATGAGGGGCATCTCCTTCAACCAATTATTTGTCATGGTCCATTCCTCTTTTTAAAATTGATTAATTAACAACCCACAAATAGCACATTGCACATTAGTAGCCTGTTCAAAGAAGTGAAACTAAGACAAAAACTTCCCTTTTTTTGACTTTTAAGTAAGATAGACTCTTTCCTACTTCCTTCATACGTCAAATTTGGAATTCTCCTACATTTAACTGAACTTATTTGCAACTACTATGTTTTGGTCCAAATATGAATACTACATACTCTGATATATGTCTCCCCGTTTACTGATTTCTCATTTCTTCAATAATTAATCATCTTATTCTGATGTGGTTGCTTCTATTGCTTTGCACTTCTTAGTAAGTTTTAGGCCACTGCTTAGTGTATTGGCAGATGTTCAACATGCATGCATCTATATAGTTGATTGTTTCTTTTTTTCCTTGAATATTTTATTTTAGTTCTAAGTTTGTTATGTTGAGTTTTTATCTATTCTCGCCTTTTAATACATCTTACTGTTAATGAAATTCTGGTCATATTAGTATTTTTGCTATTTATTTGAGTAGTTTGTTTTTACATGCATAATATTGATAACTACATTAGATTTGCACTCTGCTGCCAAATTTATATAAGGCCTATATATATATAGATAGATGGATAGATATTATCCTTATATTTAGAAAGGACACTAAAAGTACATGTGTCTTCTTAAAAATTGATGGGGTTTTGGTAGGCAATGAAATTGTGCCAAAAAA